TAAAATGCTTCTACTGTTTTCAAAGGGTTATACAAGCAATTAGTCCACATGGCGTGTTTTATTTCTTGGTGAAAGTGCAATCTATATTTTACTATTTTTCTAGGGACTTGTAAAAATCAAGAAACACCTAATGGTGGCACAAAGGAAACAAACAAAATAACGTTTACCCTTCCCAACTTGATTGCGAGAGAAAAGGTTTGGGAAGAAAGATTGAAGGATGAAAAGATATATCAACATAATCTTGAGTTTTTAGTACTTTTTATTTAGAAACGCCGCCGCGTTGTGTTTTCACTACCGAAGAAACAGAGACGGCAAAATTAAAAGACGTGACAGAAAGCAGTTACACACTTTTCTTAAGAATACAAACTTATAATATTTAATTTAACATCACGAATCATTCATTAACTTGAGGCAAATTATTAACAATTTTATTGCATCTTTTGAAAAGTGCTAATAACATATCTTTACAATGATTTAATGTTTGTCAATGACTTTATACATAATACAACCGTTATTTTATTATGTTACAATGTTTAGTGGTCCAGTCGCTGCTAGATTTGTTGGTTGGCTCTTTTCCTGTTGTAATAAAACACTATTTTCGTAGATCATTATATACGTGTGGTCTTTAAAATCGATCTTTGCGTGACTCGGGATTTATAATAGAAACTTCATACAAATGATTGCTTATTTTCGGGATGAAAATAATTGTGTATCATATCACGCATGTCTAAACTTTTTGTCCTCTCCGATGACCATTATGCATCTGCTTAGAAATCTTAATTTCAGTTTAAAAATCAGGAAAAGAATGATCCCTAGGAAGCATTAATCACAACAAAATAACATCAAAATTGCAGACTCGGTTTATGTCATGTTCAAATGATGAGTTCCACTTAAACCGGTGCTAGAGGGCGTGGACGGTAACTTGCACTTTTTAGTAACGTCCATGAACAGACTCATTAAACCGAGCTTGCAACATTTTCAATGTTGCCGTGTTAGGCTTTCTTAAGTGATTTTTGATTTAAATCTGTACCTGAGAGATGATGAAAAGTGCAACATCTTTTTCGCTGAGCGGGACTCAATTTTCAACAAAGTGCTGGAATCAAGAATCCCGGTAGACCAAAAAAATAAAACAACACTGAAATAAAGTACAGGGCAACTATTTACAGCTGCAACACGGTGCCTGACTCCTGCTATTGTAAAATTTAACAGTCCATTTTTTAGTAGAAGTTTAGGCTCAACTTTGAGCAGGTTCAATCAAACCGAACCTGCAACGTTTTCTATTTTGTCGTTTTTGGCTTTCTTAGGGGTTTTATTTCACCACTCTATTTCATCGCCACATCGGCGTTGTTTGTGTTGTGTAATGGACGTAAAAATTCGCCCCCCTGCATACAATCAGAGATGTTATATATTCGATCCCTGAAAATCGTGTAACGCGACATTTTTTGTTGTGTTTGTGCTACTTTTAGTTATTTCTATTTTGGCTTTTTCCACTATTTCTTAATATGTTGCTTGCTTTTTGAATTTGTCCTTTGACAGCCTATCTGTGATATGCAGGTGTAATAACCTCTTATTCCCTTTCACAATTCCTTTTCATTTAGTTCCGCCAATTGTTTTCTCGTTTAGGGCACAAATATTATTTTACTTGTGGATCATACGCCTCTTTTAATGGAATGGCACTAACGTGTCTCATTGAAGATTCCATGATATCCGCCGTATAAACACACCTGTGGGTTCAATTTCGTCGTTTTGGGGTTTCTTTAGCGCTTCTGTTTCACTCTATTTGATAAACAATTGTTTATGAGTAGGAAAGGTTCAGTCAAAAACAATAACATTTTATTCTTACTATTTTAATGGCAATGTTATTTGACAGTGATATGGTGTTTATGCTCATATCAAGGGCTTGACTCAAGATGTTTTACTTTTTTATAAATGTCTCTATTGTCGTGGGAAATATCCATAAGTGACATGAAATATTTGTCACGATATATTAAGCTGCTTTCTTTATTTCATAAAGTAATGTTTCAATGTTTAATGAGTCTTTTGGTATCAAAAGTGACAAATGGCATATCCTGGTAAATAATTCAAAGTCCATTTATAAGACGAAACACAAAACAAAATAATTTATTTATAACATATTGCATAGTGTTTAATAGAACAAAGGACATAAAAAGAATTTATAAAGAACAAACATGGATTATGCAATTACTTATACAACCTTTATAAAACATATGCTATTAAATTTATCGAATTAAACGAAAATTGTGTAAGCAAAAATATATCGTTTGTTTATTGGTTTTTACGGCACAGCAATACATTTTATGTCATATGACGCCAAAACAGGACAGATGATGTTTGACTTTTGGCGAACCTCGGGTGTTTCAACGTAAAGGAACATCAGGGGTCAAAACCAGTCAATTCTTAATGGAAATTGGAAAAGTTCAACATCCCTCAGGCACCGTAGTATCGGAAAATATAACAACTAATAAGACGAACTTGATAATATTAAAACCTATGTTCAGTCATAATTTAGTCTAGTACTAAAATGACACAAGTTTTACCAGTCGATTATAAAGAACAAAATGTCGGGATATTGTACACAATAATTTTTTCTTTCTGACAATAAACAAACACTACCTCAAATACATCACAAATCCAGATTCACGCTAATTCTACCATAAAAACGTGTATTTTACAACAGGTGAACCTATAGGCTTGTTATAGAGTCGATCGACAAAAAGGACAATTTTGTTCTCATCTGAGTGAATGGTTCTTAATTTTTTCTCAGTCGCTAAAATAATGGGGGAAAATATTCGTCTTGAAATAAAATATCTCTTGTTAAAAAATAACAGTTCTTCAAAAGTTAATTATTTTATTATCTGTAATGTACTTTCTTTGAACCACTTGCTCTTTGAAACTAACCACTACTTCTTAAAAGCATTGCTTAGAAATGAATGTAATTTCCTCATAAAAAGCTTTCATTGATAATTCATCATCGTCTGTAAAACCAAGAACCTCTCTGAATCATAAAATTGCATTCAAAAAACACGAATTTCTCTAATTGAATTTCTATCTTTAATTGAACGTTATTCTAATATAAAACAACCTTATGCAAACAGATTCTATATTTACTTCCTGTTCCATCAAATATATTTTAGAGAGATCATAATCATTTTTCTATCGGCCGATTTGTAAATAGAATATGTTTTAAAAGGGTTCTATTTTGTAAGAAGGTATCTTCAGTCTTTTACAGATTTCCATTAATATTGGTACGATTAAGTAGCAACAAATATGGTAGAGCAAGAAGTCTTTATAATATAATTACTATTCCATACTGTTTTTAACTGATGCAAGCAATTGCAAGAACTGTCCTGTTTTTTGTTTGCGGTCCTCCTGGGCTCCTTGCCGCTGGTTCTTGTTCCTAGTTGCTAGGTCGTGTGGGGTAGCGTCCATTGAAACACCGCCTTTCCTTATTGATCATGTTTATCATATTTTACTTGTTTAAGCTAAATTGGTGATTTATGGATTTATCATACGCACATTGTGTGATACATGTACTATTTACTTTTCTAACTTGGTGTTCTTATGATGTCTTTAAAGTAAGTGTAAAAGTTTGAAAGCATTTATGTGCAGAATAAATGTTTTACTGCTGATTGGACATTGATATTGTGATATTTTTACAAGACGTTATAACCGATAAAAACCGGAGCTTGGATCCTCCGTGACTGTAATTTATATTACAGACCTAGAATCAATTGTTATACTTTCTCGAATCACACTTGGGATTCTGAATAACATAATGAATTACAGAACAGCCAGAAAGTTGCCATAAGATAATTACAATATCGGTGTAGCACATTTATATGACGACTTTGTGAAATGTATTTATCCGTATGGTTCTTAGTTGCAGGCGAGATATTTTGGTGAATTGTTATCGTAATCCACTTTTACTCGGGTACATTTTTCTAGAGGCCGTATCTACCCGGGACAGCCTCTTTAGGTAAAGTGTTTACGCTTCATTCATCCGATCAACATCTTATTGATTTTTTTTCACTCGAAAAATTAATCACATGCTTCATGTTCATTTATTGCACCTTAGTTATCACCCCTTTTAAAGATAATTTTTATTTTCTCCACTATTTATCAGACTTTTTTATTCTGCAGCTGCTTTCACTGCAGCAACATTATTTTCGGAGTTGCTGTTTCTAGAAGAACATATTTGGGTTCATCTTTGACATATGTTCTACCGGACTTAAATAATCTGACATATATCTTAACCGACCTTTCCTAACTTGTCTAAATCTTGTATAAATGAGACACGACAAAGCCAATTACTTTCCTTAGATATCAAAACATAAAACAGATATAATTTAATAAATTTATTTGTCCTAAGTGTCGCAAACAAGTTCTAAAGTAATGGATAAATCAACGACAAAGTACTTTAGAGATAATCAAATAACCGCCTGTACTGTATAAAGATTAACACAAACAGTAGAAATATATGAAAACAAATAACATCCAAACAAATAGCGGAGGGAGGGCGGGTTTTTTGAAAATCAAGCGACACTACAAAAATACTAATAGCAATGAAAACTGGAAACAAGTCCCTATAAATAGCCAAGGTGTATGAATATCAAATATAAACCAATGAGAAGTTGTTTTGTTGATGCTAAGAAACAGACACTAAAAATAGAACTAAAAAAGGTAAACAATCCAATGAAGCGTAATTAGTTATTTTAATGCTTAAAATAATTCAATTACTTTCCTTAGATATCAAAACATAAAACAGATATAATTTAATAAATTTATTTGTCCTAAGTGTCGCAAACAAGATCTAAAGTAATGGATAAATCAACGACAAAGTACTTTAGAGATAATCAAATAACCGCCATCCCTAAGCCCAACAAACTAAGGCAATCAAAATAAACAACACAAAATCAAAAAAAAAAAATTTTACCTTAGACCGCAGAAACAAAATTTATATACAGGAATCTTCTGAAAGATTCAAAATTTTAACACAAATTGTAGAAATAAATGAAATAGTAATTTGAATCAACAATTACTACTATATGACTAACATAATATTATTTATATATATATAATATACAATTAGAACCTTACAATAATTTGTTATGACTTAACTGCCCAGAAGGTTAACACATCCAACTGTAGACAGTATTTCTTCAATCAAGAAGAAACTCATAACAAAAATAATAATTAATAACTCAGCGTAGAAATAACCCTCAAGAAGAAATGACCCAAACGATTTGAGCCCTCAGTATTCAAATGTAACCCTCCATCTAGATTGGCAAAAAGAAATCTTTTGATCTGCCCTTAAACAAAAATGGACGGAAAGATTTCACAAACTTCACATTCAAATCCTTGGACATTTCTTTTTCAAAACAAGTATTGACTTGTTTGATAACTGACTCAGTTTCATCCTTATCCACCGGCCGAGGAAGTAAAGAAGAAACGATAATATGAATGTCTGTTTTTAAACGACGGACTGTTGCAATCAAATTTGCCAGACCAGATAAAATATAGTCACATGAATTGCCATTGGCAATATTATTGGTACCGGCATGAATAATTATATAGTTACTAGAACCAAGAGACAGCTGTCTATTCTCTAGAAGAAAATTGATTTTACCGATTGTAGCACCTCTGATGGCTCTAACTTCAACTCCCTCAATCGGTGGTAAGTTTTTTATCATAGAATCACCCACAATGATCACCTTCCTGAACTCTGAAATTAATTAGGTATTCAAAGATAGAATACTTTGAAATACAAAATACAATACTTTTGAAATACAAAATACAATATATAAAGACTTCAAATATATAATCATTTACCCACTAAGAAAATTCTGCTAACCTAAATAAATGTCTGTCAATAGTAGAGACAAAATTAAGAAAATTATCAAATTTCAGTAAGTGAAATTCTGCCAACTTGTGTAAACATCAAGTTATAACAGATACTCCATTAATTAAAATGAAGCCACATAAGTAAATAAAATTATAACATATTACATAAATAACACTGTCCTTCAACAGTTGCTATGAACAATGTGTTTTCTATATGTGATAACTTGTCACTAACACTGCCCTTCAACAGTTGCTATGCAAATGGTGTAATTTCTATATGTGAAATTCTGCCAACTTGTGTAAACATCAAGTTATAACAGAAACTTCATTAATTAAAATGAAGCCACATAAGAAAATAAAATCATAACATATTATGTAAATAACACTGTCCTTCAACAGTTGCTATGAAAAATGCGTTTTCTATATGTGAAAACTTGTCACTAACACTGCCCTTCAACAGTTGCTATGCAAATGGTGTAATTTCTATATGTGAAATTCTGCCAACTTGTGTAATCATCAAGTTATAACAGAAACTTCATTAATTAAAATGAAGCCACATAAGAAAATAAAATCATAACATATTAAATAAATAACACTGTCCTTCAACAGATGCTAGGCTAATAGTGAAATTTCAATCTGAGAAAGTCTGCCAACATGTGTAAGCATCATGTTGTAACAGATACATCATTAATTAAAATGAAGCCACATACATGTAGAAAATAGAACTATAACATTAGGGCCTACATAAAAAACTCTGTCCTTTAACAGTTGATATGCAAATTGTGAAGTTTTTTATATGTGAAAATTCTGCCAACTTGTGTATTCATCATGTTGTAACAGAAACTCCATATATTAAAATGAAGCCACATAAGAAATTCAAAATTCAAAACGTAACCAAATAAACACTATAATAAGGAACTTGAATGTCATAACAATTTTATACTACCCTTAATGAATACTTTAGATAATTGTAATTGAAAATCTGCCTACTAATTGAAAGACCATAAATATTATATCTAATCATATTTTAATTTATTACTAATGAATTTTGATACTCTTAATTTATCTTGAAAAGAATACTCTATATACTTTTTATAGGCATCTGACTTCCAGTCACCCATTAATTGAATAAGATCAGCAGGTAAATTAAGCCTAAAGGCATAAGTAGCAAAACCTCTACGAAAAGAATGAGTAGAGAAGTCCTCAGAATTTAAACCAATATTGTCAATACAAGATTTCAATTTTCTCATAAAGATTGCATATGTAACTGGTTTATTAGAGCCTAGCGAAACAAAAGGATCATTAGCCTTGCCAGGAACTACCTTAATCATATTATTGTAAGCAGATACAGGACATAAACAAGAATGATCTATACTGTGTAAAGGAACCTCTAAAATCCGTTCTCCTGCTTGTATAGTTTTTGACCATTTCATCTTAACCAACAAATAAGTGCCTAAATTGACAATATCTTTTCTCAACAAAAACTTTGGATTCTGCAAATCTCTTATATTTGTTGGTACCAAGTTTGATTTTCTAGCCAATAAAAAGAAAGCAAATAAAAACAAACACCAAAATACAACATTATCAACTTGAGTAAAATCTAAACATTTAAAAATACTCAGCAGAATTTCTGGAGTAATAGGAGTCGCCTGTTTATGCAAATACAGTTTTTGTTTACTTATCCCTTTAAGAGATAAATTTAGTAGAAAATTATTAATATGTTCCACTGAAGCACCTAGTAACAAATGCATTGTTTTAACACCACTGATGTAATTTCTAATTGAATCAACCGATTTCATGGATCTACTCAGAAACTGAGCATATAATTGAAGTGTTTCAGTAGAAACTGGCAGAGAAACCAAATGAAAATAGGTACAGAAAAGCAGAAATGCCTCCCATTGAATCTTCAAATTTTTCCATGTACCTTCAGCATAAGCTTGTTTGTTAGATAACATAAGATCATGCTTCAACCCCATAAACTGAACCTCTGAAATTTAAAAAACAATAAACCACTAATTTAATGTAAAATCACCATGGATTTAAGATATCAAAATCAGTACTTTTAACTGAAAATTCTTTTAACCTATAATTCTTTGTTAAACTAAAGAACTCATTACGATGAAATTCCCCCTGTTCAAATCTTGATAAATGGTCAGCTAAACGATTCTCTGATGAAGAGATATGTTGAGCTTTAATTTCAAATTCATAAACTGCAGAAATGAAGCAAATCTCCCTTATGTATTTTTGAAGAAACGGCATTTAGCTTTCCCGGAATTAATAGCAATACATGTAGAAAGATTATCACACAAAATGACTATCCTTGAATGCCTAAAATTAGAAGCCCACAGATGTAAACAAAGTACTAAGGCTAGCATCTCTAATGCACCTATATGTAAATTAAATGACAAAATTTCTGAAGGAAATAAAGCATGGAAATAATTCCCTTCCCAAAAACCACCACAGCCTTCTAGACAAGCATCACAACTTAAAATAGTATCAGGCTCACACCAAGGTCCTAGATACAACAAAGAAATACCATTATATTTTGGCAAAAATTCATTCCACCATAGCAAGTCTTTTTTAACCTCATCAGGAATGCAATGTTTAATCTTTTTATCTGCACCATACAATTGTCTGAGCCAATTTAACAATCTAGCCACAAAAAATCCTGCTTGGTTTAACACAAGCTCCTATGAAGTTCAATTTCCCTAAAAGAGACTGAAGCTCCTTTAAGTAGCAACTTTTTTATTTAACCATACTTTCACCAAACTACGAATCTCAATCAAACGATTTGGAGTGATTTCCATAGTCATAGTCTCAGTATTGAACAAAACGCCCAAAAAAGTCATGATTGTAGAGGGTGGTGAACATTTTTCTACAGCTTCTTGTAAACCACACAACTCTAAAACTCTAGTCAGAGTTGAATAAGCAAAGTCAGCAAGTTCTGGTTTTTCAACCCCAGCTAAATCATCTAAATAGTTCAAAACAGAGATGCCCATACCCAGTAACATAAATGCTACAGCATTAGTAACACGTTGACAAATATAAGCAGCACTGCGAAGACCCATTGATAAAACAACATCACAAAAAAAAAGATTATTCCAAGAATAAGCCACTAAATTGTAATCAGAAGGACATATACTAATTTGTCTGTATGCGCCTTTCAAGTCTTTTTTGTATAACCTAGCCGAAGTGCCTTTAGCTAAAATCAACTTAACAAAATCATCTATTCTAGGAAAAATAGTAGAACTTGCCATCCCTAAATATTCATCCTTTTCAATGTAATCATTAACCGCGCAAGAAGTATTTGAACTCAAATCTAAAATTACTCTTCTGTCTGAAACCTCCTTTTTTGGTACTGAATTTAAAGGAGACACTAACATATTATTTGAAAATGGATTTTTTTTGAAAAGGGCCTATAATGTGCTCATTTTGAATCTCTTTTTGCAAATATTTGTTAATTTGAACAGGAAAATCATTGGCCCCTTTATAATTTTTGTAATTAGAAGCTTCTAAGGATTTTGAAAATGCATTTTCATTACCAGAAAAATTTATAGGAAAACCAAATTCCAAAATTCACATACCAGCATATCATTATATTGAAAGGTTGACAAAATTTGTCTCATATAAGAAGTATTTATCTTGTTATTAATTGGAATACGGCAACCTTCAAAAATTATGTTTTCCTGACTTTTTAACCAATTCATGAATTAAAATTTTCTTATTGACTTCTGAAAAGGTAGAATTATTTTCAACAAAACTACACATGTGACATGAACCAGATTGAGAACAAACATGATAATTTTCCTTTATATTACTTTCTGAATTTTTGAAACAAAATTCTGGTAAAAACAAATCTTCAACCTTATTTTCATTCTTGAAACTTCTGTTGCATGAAAAAAGTCATTGCATAGCATATGGACAAGCTGTGGAACACTCCGGATGATCCAATTTCTTTTTATCTTTCTGCCAACAGGAAGCACAAATATGTTGAGCCATACGCATCCTACCTTTTACAACCATCATGTGACCAGATTTGTTAGAACATTTATTCCTCTGATAAGGAGAACAAAACCAAGTAGAACCTTGACTTTCATCAACAGAATTATCAATAGAAACCTGCTTGTTGAAATTTCTACGATTTCTTGTACTAGATGTAGACTTGCCCTGAACTTGAGGCTGATATTTGCTTAGAATAGCCATTTCAATATAATGGAAATCATCAGACCAGGACTTCTTACCAAGCTCTATTTCCCTAAGAACAGCTGCATAATATGCCTTTAAAATGCTGAAACCATAGGATACGCTTAAATACATTAATCTTTTAAGTAATCCCATTCGTCCTTTTCTTTCTGTAGATTTGGTGTCATTATCAGAGATAATCTCCAATTCACCAGCTATAAAAAGATTCATAGACAAATCATTGAAGGACAGACTCTGGTCAACAAATTCGTATCTTAACTGAGAATGAGGATATTTCTGAACAAATTTCACTCTATCAGACGCTTTAGCCTCGATACCAGATCTATGAGAGCTCTTTCTTCTAATATTTTTATTAGAACTGGGAGAGAACTCTTCATCTGACGAATCAACAATACTAGAAACTTCATTGTCCGAATTATCGGACGTATCCGAATCGGAACAACTTGTATCAATAGAAGGTTCTTCAAGACCTAATTTGCTAAGCTTACGCCGAACTTTACGCTTTAAATCATTATCTTGTCTCAAAGAGGTTAAAGTTACTTTTTTATCCTGACTTTTCTGCAAAGGAGAGCTCTTATTTACTTTTTTTGAGCAAATTTTCTTCGGTTCTTTAGCATCAGCAAACGAGATAGAAATAGACGAAAAATCGTTACCCTTTAAAGATTTTACAGCGTCTCTCTTTTCTTTAAGTTTGCGTCTTAATTCTGCCTTCTCCCGCTGGACGATAAGCTCTTTTTCTTCTTTTTCTAATTTTTTCAATTCCTCCTTCATGCTATCCAGATCTGAGTCCTCAGAATCAGCAGACGCTTGCTTCTCACAAACTGAAATCCCACAGGGCTTCGATTCCTCCAATAAACCCGCAGAAGCAGTCGGCAACTTATTCACCTCTTCTCCATTGTCGTCCGAAATCCACGGTTCTCCTTCGATCATTTTTTTTATAGTCTACGCGACCTTTTTTCCTTTCAGTAGTCCAGTAGTCCTTGAAGACATTTTAGAATAGAATAATAAACCCAGCAAGGGTCTATATCCCTTCAAATGAGAAATTAATTTCTAAATTAATATGAATGTCCAGTGATAACTTGAAACTTTAAAACTTAATAAAATGAAAAGGCGGGAATGCCACACCCTAAAAACAACTTCGAGAAACTTTTTTTTTTGAAAATCAAGCGACACTACAAAAATAGCCAAGGTGTATGAATATCAAATATAAACCAATGAGAAGTTGTTTTGTTGATGCTAAGAAACAGACACTAAAAATAGAACTAAAAAAGGTAAACAATCCAATGAAGCGTAATTAGTTATTTTAATGCTTAAAATAATTCAATTAAGCGAAATTCACAATAAGCTCTTTGCTCCTCTTGAAAAATGTTCTTGTCCTTCGTAGTTCAAGTGAAAATGTTATCCTTGCGTATGTAGCAGGGGGTCTAATACTCTCATACATGTAGAAGAGGCTTCACTGGACAATAGTAAAGCTTAGACTGATTTATGCCTCCCTATTTGTCGCACGTGCTGCTGAATATACCAACACTGCCGTTTAAGTCAAAACCGCCGCCAAATGTCGCAAAACAATCTGTCGTGAAATGTCGCAATGTCACATAATTTTTTATCAGATTACATATTATATTATATTATATTATAAACACATTATAAACATATTATAAACATATTATAAATTTAAGCGTAATTGTTGATATCAAGTTAATATCTACAAAAATCGGGATTGATTATTGACTTGCTAGTTACTACATAAATGAACTGTAAAACGCCTAATTCAGAGAAAGATGCTTAAAGAACGTCCACTGAGGTCCAAAAGTCTACAAACATAGAATTCAAAAATCTTACTTCGATTAGAAACTTGAAACATGTGATAAAATGATTAAGAAATATTTTCAAAATTACATTAAATATGGCTTTTATCGAATTGGGGTTAAAGCGTCACACGCGTTTTATTTATATATGACATTTTGTACACACAAAAAATAATTATCCTGGAAAAAAAAACAGAATGACTGAATGATCTCAGTTTTTGTACTCCAGTCATTGAAATAGACATACATTAAGTTGTATAAAAATTTCGACAAAATATTGTCAGTCCCTTCATTTCAGAAACCCTCGGCGGAAGAGGACACAAAATTTAGTGTACCAAATTATTTTTTTCCCACAATAAACTTACAATTGCAGACAGTCACTATCTATCAGTCATTACAAATCCAGAGTCACGCACAAATCTACTCACTAAGGACAGTGCTTCTTTACAACAGATGAAAGCGGGAAAAGAGGAGACCAACGAATCTAGCTGCGACCATTGAACATTTTAACATATACTTAAATGTTTACCAACACTTTTTCAGAAAATAATAGACATTTTGACTATTTGCTGCAAGTATATAGAATATTCTTGTAGTATATTTTTATGACAATTTTAACGTTTTTTTCACCCGAAGTATTTTGCTATGAGAAAATTGGCAGTAGGAATTATTTTGTTCCCAATGTGTTGGCATTGATTGTATAAGATTCTGAATAGAATACCCCATGTAAAATTGTATGTGAAAACGTTTATAACCATTAAGCAATTTTAGCGGGGGAGGTGGGGGTCATTATTTTTTCTTTAATATTCTCTTTAAATTTGAAAATACTGTTTTATCATAGAAAAACATTGCCTAGAAATTGATATCATTTCCCCTTATAAAAGCTTTTACAAGTATTGATAATTTGACACTTCACTTAATAAGGCTATACACATTATACCAGAAACAAATTGTATCTTGAATTTCATTCATAATCAAAACATATCCGCTAACTGACTTCATTTTAATTAAAAGTTATATTACGTCCTTGATTTCAGTACAAAACAATGCAATTATCTAAAAGGAATATTAAAGAGGATACAAATTACTTATTGTTTACATCAAAAACATTTTTAAGAAATCATATTCATTTTCCTATCAAGTGATTTTTAATTTTAATAATTTCCTTTGTACTCTAGTATTTTCTTTGAACGAAGTCAACCTTGTTGGAGGTAATCAATTATAGTTGCAGCCAACAATTGAAAAACAATAAATCTTTATAGTGAAATTCCTATTGTTGCGCTATCAATATCAAGCACAGCGTCTACGTTTGTCATTCACTTATCGAATAAAATCACGCAAGGAATGCAATACTTATTATCAAGGCATTATACAACACCCTAAGAACTACAAGCATATTTCAACACGGTATGTATTTTATTACTTATAGAAAACTGACTAATAAAAACAAGTTCAATATATCATTAAAAGTATTTCATACATAGTTTATGCCACTAACAATACACGTGCCACAATAATTAGTTTATTAAAATACAAAAAGTACCCGATACTCATGTAAATCATGTTACTATCCAATAACGTCGAGTACAAAGATATTATATTTGACACCCTAGAAACGACCTCTACAAGTATAAGCGCTTATCGTAACTAGGTCAATTGGCTTATGTTCATAACTCCGTCAAGGAGGCTTCGGCTTCAATCTCTGGTTTGCATTGGTTATATATAGACGTTATGAGCTGGCAAAATGATGTAATCAATTTTCACGAAACACAATAACCATTTGTTGTATCTGTCTCTGAAAATAAATGGCATCCATCTTTTTGACATTCTAAGTAGACATTATTGGCGCCCGCGCCAAAGCGCGACGCCACTTATGGAATGAAATCAGATTTTGTGAAAGGGCGACAGCAACTTCTTGGGCCTTTTTGTCGGTCATAATAGCCGATCATTCCAATTGGTTTGAGGGTTTTTGATTATCAAAAATGAAATGTCGCGAACAATGAATAGCGAACTGGAGAATTTCGCAATGCAAACATTTTCAAATGAAATTATCTTATCCGTCAATTAATGAACAATGTCTTTCGTCCGCCCATTCATAAATATTATACAATTCTGGTAAAAACAAATTAACAATTGAAAAGTTTATAAGAATATCTTGTCATCAGATATCTACTAGTTCACCTTCACTTGCTGCATTTCTTGCAAAGACGCCCATTGATGTTTTGCAACAATGCTTTTCTTGTAGTTATAATAACATACAGTTAGAAATGCTATAATATAACTAAATGATAAGATGGTATTACAAAATGTGCATAAGTTTTCCCGGGACACATATCTAGCCTGATATAAATATTCAATAGGAATGGATGGAATTTTCTCATAAAAGCATTTACTTGTATTGATAATTTACCATCGTCTGCACGTTATCAAGTTAGACGCATTACAACAGAAACAAAATGTATCTTAAATTGCATTCATACATTAATCACACAAAAGCCGCTAACTGAATTTTCATATTTGATTTAAAGTTAATTATGGCATTGCTTTCATTTAAGTTACAATACAATCATCTATAAAGAATAATAGAGGATACACATTTTTACTTTAAGTGCCAGCAAAGACATTTTGAAAAAAATTGTATTCCTTTTGTTGTCAGATGATTTGTAAATCTTTTTAAAATGTTTTCTACCTTTTTCTTTAAACAGAAGTCACCTTGTCAGAGATATTAATTATCGTGCTACGATTAACATAAAAGCGAGATATCTTTTAGCAGCATCTCTGTTAAGTACTTTCACTGATGTTAGGAGTAACAACGGTTTAGTTTATTATTGAATATCAAACTTAAACCAAGTAAGAATTTGGAAAAAACTACATTCATGTTAAAACATGTTATGTATTCTGTTACTATTAGGAAATTGACTCATAAAATCAGCTCCTGTGGAAACAATATTTCATATTTATAGCCAATGTCATATGGAACAATAAAGCTATATACTACAAAACAAGTATTTGCTAGGATCATAAACATCATAGGACTATCCTATCCAATAGTTTAGTATGACACTTTAAAAAACTTGGTATAGAATAGTATTAGATTTGACACTCTAGTAACTAACGTCTTGTATAAACTTAAGGTAAGAAATGGGTCTTGAATCTGAAATTAGCTTTGTATTAATTACTCAACCACGGAGGCTTCAACCTCAGGTTTATATCAGTTATCTGCTGGCAAAAGTGAAAATCAATTTTCATGAATAAGTATTTAAAACTCTTTCTTATCAATATTATTGAAATGCAAACTCGATAATAACGTATAAGGTTTTGTTTTAAATGTGCTTTCTATAATTAGATCATTTGACAATACTGTTTCATTTTAAAATATTCCTTAGAAAGGGATGTCATTTCTTCTTGAAAGCATTTACTAGTATTGATAATTTGTCATGGTCTACACTTTATCAAGTTACACGCATAACAACAGAATAAATTGTATTTTAATATTGTATTCAGAAAGAAATCACACAAAAGCAACTAAATGACTTTAAATTTTTATGAAACATTATGTAATTGCTGTGCTATAACTATCTTGAAAGAATGATAAAAAAGGTTACAAGAAATATTCTTATTTCTTGCCGTTTACACCCAATGACATTTCTTGAGAAATCAGAATTATTTTCTATCAGATGATTTATAAATAGAGTCTTTCTAAAAGTGTTTTCAACAATTTCGTTTGGACGCAAGCCACCTTGTGTTGAGATATGTTACTGTAGTGCTACGATTAACATGGAGCATAAACATAAAAACAAGACATCTTTAACGTGACATTCCTCAATACTTTCATCGATGGTAGCAATAAGTAAGATCTTCTAGTAAGCTCAGTAAGAAATGGAACTTGGATCTTCGATTGGCCTCATATAAATTTTAAAATGTCCAAAAGATAAACCAGTTTATTCAGACCACAAATCTAACCTACACATATTTTTTTTCTAAATCATTATTGAGTCTGAATTAATGATTCAGCACAATTTAGTGGAACGAAAGATTGTCGCATACACTTTAAATCTTCATTGAAGAAGACATATTTTATATAAACTTGATATAGTACATAATCATTTTCTTTCCCAAAATAAGCAAACTATTGCATGCAGT